CAGTTTTGACGTTTCATCCAAAATTAATGACAAAAGAGAAATAATTATCCACTCCAATGTTTCTGAGGAGAAAATGAATCCATGGGTAGTTGAAAAAAACGAAACGTTGTCGCTTGAGACTCCGTCCCTCCCCCCTCTACTATTGAAGTCGTTTTCAATTGCTGCCAGTTTACGAGAAAAGATACTGACGTGGCAATTTCATTTTCCCTTCAAACTTTTACAGCTTGCACGGGATATCAAGAAAATAGAATGATTAATCAAATAGGCTTTGTTCAAAAGCTGAAAGGTTTTTATATGAATACGTATCTACGAGGAAAGGAAAAATGTCGAGTAGTTTCACTAGACTTACTTCTTGACCTCTGGCGAAACACCCGTTTGATCTTCTATTTAAAATTATCTCCTATCTGGAAACGTTAAAAACTACCTAACTAGGAAATTCTACAGATAAGCAACATTAGAAGATACTTGTGCTTAGTTTTCCGCTATGAACTTTGGTCATAAGCTAGCTTATTGTAATTTAAGAGCGTATTCTGCATTCTGTAGGATAAAGGGGGTGATAGAATGCCACTATGGAGGCGTACGTTTTCACTTAGCTTTTTCCTGACGTAGTTCCTTTTTTCACCTTTTCTAAAATGGCAAAATTGAAAACTAGATATTAATAAACTTATACACATACTTGGAAAGCAATACCCGTTGTTTCTTATACTGACTCTGATGAGTCTTCTTCTGAGGCGTGAAGCATAAGCCCCTGCCATGTAATTAGCCACTGTCTGTCCCTGAAGGGCTGAATATTTGTAATATCATTGGGAGGATATAAAAAGTAGTTTTTAACTTTGATTAAAAGGTTGTCAACATATGGAACTCCGTTTAGATCCAGGTATAATTTATTTAATTTCTTTTTTTTTTTTTAAGCTAAGCTCCTAAGACCTCTTAGGGATTATTCAGACTTCCAATACACCCATTGGAACATTTCATTGTATGGTACTTTTAAACGATTAGCAGATAAACGAATCTTGCTATGTCATTTGTAACTCAGCTGTACTCGTTTTTGAGTTGCAGACATGAAAGGTTAAGGAATTTTTCGAAAGCTCTAACTCTATATATCTGCAAAACTAATTGCAACGCGCTGATTAATAGTTTGGAATCTTTTGATACCATCAAAGTGGTGTTGTATCGATCCATTTAGAGAATCATGTTTAAAAATTGCAACAGTTTAAAACCTCCCTAGTTTGGCCAAATATACAAAATGTAGGCTAAAATGAAACAAATTAGGCCAAATTCTTCGTGGTCACAACTATGAGGGTATGGCTAACGGTTCAAATATTGGTCATCTGAGTTTTAGGCGAACGATTAATTTCTCTCTATCACGGTTGAGAGAAATGCTGAAAATTAATTTGAACTATCCCTAAAAAAACTGTAATTAAT